GCTGTAGCAGAAGTGAGATCCTTTTCAAGCTCCGATGTCCCTTGCAAGCAATCAGAGGGAGCTGGCTTCTTATCGTGACCAGAATAAATGGTAGTATCATCAGCAAACAATGCCACCTTAGATGTGAGAATATCTGTAAGATCGTTAATGTAAACTAAAAAGAGTATAGGGACAAGGATTGAACCTGGAGGAACCCCTGAGGTTACAGAATAAGAAGAAGAGTGCTGTCCATTAAGGACAACTTTTATACTACGATTGGAAGGGAAGGATTCAATAATCTTAAAGATGTTTCCAGATACACCGTAAGAAGAAAGCTTATGGAGGAGACCAGCATGCCAAACTTTATCAAACGCTTTAGAAATGTCAAGAGCGATGGCCTTAACCTCTCCACCTTTATCTAATGCGCGATAAAACCTATCGGTTATTACTGATAGCAAATCAGCCGTAGAATGAGAAGATCAAAACCCATATTGATGTTCAGAAAGTAGGTTATGAGATTCGAGATGAGAGATTAAGTGTTTGTTAAATAAAGATTCAAAAACCTTGCTTATGATAGGAAGAAGACAAATAGGACGTTAGTTAGACGAATCAGATCGCTCTCCAGAATTTTTCAAAATAGGGATAACAGATGCTGCTTTCCAGCAGGCTAGAAAACAAGATAAGCACTTGTTAAATAGTTTTGAAAGGATAGACGACAGCTCCGGAGAACACTTCTGCAAGACTATAACAGGTATGTCGTCCAGGCCGCAAGCTGTAGAAGAGTCTTAGCAGGAAATCACTTTAGATACTGAAGCTGGAATGATACAGATGTCAAGCAGTGGATCAACTTGTTTGACGGCTATATCAGGTAGAACGCAACTAGTGGAATCAAGAGATGATATTGATGAAAAGTTCTAGGCAAACAATTCAGCTTTGTCTTTAGGTGAGGTGACAAAGTCTGAACCATACAAAAGAGGTGGAATTACAGACTTGCCCTTATTATTGATACTATTAAAGATTCTCCAGAAGTCACGCCTAATTTTTGTGATGAAATACGAGATTTCATGATCTGAGAATAGCGGGTTTTGGCGTTAAACAAAACCTTTTTACAATGGTTGCTAGCAGTAATAAACAGACGTCTGTTTTCTGGAGAACTGTTTTGCTGATAGATATGGAAGTAATGGTTTCGATTGGCAATTGTAGCAGTACAATGTGAGGAAAACCACGGAGAAGAGTGAGGCTTGACCTGGAATCGTCGAGAGGGAATAAAGGATTGTCAACAAGAAGACGAAAGATTTCTACCCAGGGGCCATCACGAAGAAAATCACGGAAAGAGTCCCAGTCAGCTTTAAGGTAGTTGTAAGATGTACAATGATAGGGGGATCCTGATGGTAAAGAAGAATGAGATAATAGTTTTAGAGAGACCAAACCATGATCAGAAGCACCTTAGGGTGAGTGTGGAGAAACTGAGCACTGACTAGGATTAGAAACAAGACGTAAGTCGAGTAGAGAAGGTAAATGATTCGGGTTGTCTGCGAGTTGGAAAGTTTGTCAGCGAGTTGGAAAGTTGACTATTTGAGTTAGAAATTGAAAAAGGCAAAAGTTGTGAGCCTTAATGCCTGCAGAGTCACTGACACTAGAGCCAAGCCATTCAGTGTGATGAACATTAAGGTCACCGACAGCAACAATATTGGTTGATGGATAAAGAATGAAGGCTTGGTCAATATAATCAGAAATAACATCAAGAAGAGTGCAGTCTTGAGATGAAGGAGAGCGATATAGAACAAAGAGAAAGGTGATAGAGTAAAGTGGTGCTAAACGAAAGCGCATAAAAGAGTAGTCTGTGGATTCAAACCTTGTTTCCCGACAAATGGGTGAATTCTTACGAATGTAAATGCCTAGGCCAAGCATATTGGAGTCTTTACGAATTAAAGGAAGATAACCATTAACACTAAGATTACAAGATGAGACAGCTGAACTCAAATTAGTCTCACAAAGAGCAAGTAGGTCTGGTGAACTTTGCAAGAGATAAGACTCAACAGAAAAAAAATTACTTCAAAGACCACGAATATTGGTGAATGATAGGTTTAGCGAACTTGGTGATGACTTTGGTTTTTTGTGTTTTATAGTTTTTGTTACTTTATTCATTTTTAAATTTGTTAAAGAACTTGACTCGAAACATAGATAATACTCAGTACACTGTTTTATAGCCCAAGCAGTTGCCTCATTTCCACTAATAAACCCTAAGCCGTAACAAAGGGCTCCAATGTGGCCTTGGCAATGCACATCAAAAGTACAAACAGGGGCACTATCCATGTCAACATAGCACTGTTAGTACTCTGATATTTTTCAGCTGTTGATGGAATCAGCCTCTCTGAGAGCTACCACAGAGTTTGGGAAACCTGACTACCAGCCGGCCTCAGAACCATAAAACTGAGTTTTAGAGTTGTACCCTCATTTGGAGATAATATGAGTTGTCTAGTCATTAAAAACAGAGACACAAGCAAAACCCATGCATCGAGTCAAGAAGATCCAGCGTTCAACATCCTAAACTTGAAACAATTTATTAAAAATACATCTGCGCCAGCCTAATAGATGGAGAAGAGGTGCGAGGCTCGTCAACAGATAGAATCTGTTTACCTCTTAAGTCTTTACTTAGGAGGCTTTCTACAAGACAGCAGCCGGATGCATTTAACATCTGCCCAAGATGAGTATTTTTATCGAGACACCATCTCTAGCCTTTACTCAACCAAGAGCCCCAAGGTAGGAGGTGTTTTATGTCGGAGTTTGCATCTCCTAGTCTTTGCCTAAAAAGGCATATCCTACAAGACAGCAGGACATGAAGCAGGTTGTACTGGGTTACAATTTACCAGTAGCAGGATAAACCTGACCTAACCCAATGTCTAGAGGTCGCTGTATTAAAAATATAATGTCTAGAGGTCGCTGTTATTGTCTAGAGGTCGCTGTATTAAAAATATAAAAAACCGTTTATTTTTTTAAAATAAACGGTTTTTTATATTTTTAATACAGCGTATTAAAAATATAAAAAACCTAATTAATATTCAATCAGGCTATTTTAAGGCTTTAGTTTTTCTAAAGAAAAATTATTAATAAAGAAAATACTAATAATAAAAAATACTAAAAATGTATTAATTAGTTTTGATTTCAAATAAGATATATTTTGTTGATGTTTTCTGTGATAAAAGGACAGATGTCCATAAGAAAATCAATAACTGCTGTGAAATGCTTTACGCAGAAAATGTAATATTAAAGGAATAATACAAAAAGGTGAAAAAGTCATTAATCGTAATGATTACGAATTATTAAACTAATTGCATAACTAGGATGTATAAAAAATACCAGAGACAGGTTCGTTTTATAAATAATTTGTATATACTAACTATAGAGCAATCACATGTACACAGTCTTACTAACAAGGTAAATGTAAAATTTAGATAAATACATCTGTTTATAAAAAAATAAGTCAATATAAAGCCAATAATAATAAAAAGATCTCTGGAGCCTTAGCTACTAATACTAACTTTTAATTACTATTAGTTTTGTTAAATTCTTACTTTCTTCATATTACCTTTTGGATTAAAATATATTGACTGAAGTTTTTTATTTTTCAATTTTTGACGTTGAGAAACATAGATTATAATATCTTTTATCATTAGGTATTAATAACAGTTCCCTTCATAAACAAAATTTATTATACTATCTTGTTCATTTCTGATCCAAATAGCTTTTTTTTAAAAAAGAGCCTTGAATAGTATAAATATCAAATCTATTTAAATAAATATTATAATTGTTTTAACTCCATTCAGTGAAACTTTAAATGTTTTATATACATATATATATATTAATAACTTATAGTTTTCACGAACTGGTTGAAGCAGAAATGATGAAAATTTTATAACATTTTAAACCGCACTGTGACATTTTCTTATTTAGTGAAAAGTCTAATATTTCAAATTTACTGGTTTTTGCAGGAATCTAGTAGTTTTTTTAATTCAATCGGCTGGTTACTGGCGGTTTTTTGCATTAAATCTGGAGGTTTTTCTTTATCATAATATTTTCTTTATCATATATTTGTTGCTTCACTTAATTCAACTTTCTTTTACAAATAGTTTTACTTTTATTGCTTCACTTATTCAACTTTCTTAAATAAAATTTAAGTAAGTTTTTTTTTTTAATTTTTAAAACTCTGAAAATAAATTTGAAAATAAAAAAAATTTGCGAAATTAGAAAAGAAAAATTGAGAGCAAACAAATTAATTTAGTATTGAAGGACTTTTAAAGAGGTTTAACATTTTTCGGAATTTGAAGGTTTTTTAAAATAGGAGGAAACAGGAGAGTCTGAAAAAACAAAAAGCTTTCATTCTTTTTTGTTTATCTTAAATTCAGGTTTCTTGATCTTAAACTCAGGTTTCTTGATTTTAAAATAAGGAATTAAATAGTTATTTGAAAATGAATAAAAACAACACATAAATATGATTATATCATATACTAATAAAAGATTTAACATTTTTTTCTATAACCCTAAAATTTGATCTCTCCAATATTAATTTATAACAAAATTGTAGAAATAATTTTTTATTAAGAAAAAATTCCGTAAAAAAACTTTTAAGAATTAAATACACAAAAATGTTCACGAAAATGTAACAACAATAAAAATTATGTTTGATGACAGGAAATGTGGTGTGGTGATGACACGAAATGTTGTGCAATGATGACACGAAATGTGGTGTGGTGATGACACAAAGTTTGGCGATGCTATTCTTTAATGTCTATAAAATCTCAAATTTTCTTTTTATTTAGTAAAGTGTAAAATCTCAAATTTTCGTTTTATTTAGTCAGGTAACTTGGTGACTAATAACTAATATTTTTTCCACAATAATAAAATATTTACAAAAAAAAAAAAAAAAAAAAAAAAAAAAAAAAAAAAAAAAAAAAGGAAAAAAAGAATCAACACAAAATTAAGAATTTATAAAAAATTATTTTTCAATTTTATAAAAAAAAACTTTTTTAAAATAATCTCCCAAACATAAAAAAAGTTCTTAGGTGAAATAAAATAAATTAAAATATCCTTTTCTAATAGTAAAAAACTTTAACATTTAATACAAAAACTTACAAAAAATAAACTTATGAAAAAAACCCCAAAAATTACTTTTTGAGACGCGGGGGAGTCGTAGTTAAACATACTTCAGCACCAGATGTAAGTGAAAGTAAGTTTGATTGGTAGAATTTGATTAAATCTTCAACCGATTTAAATGGCTAAAAATAAAAAAGTTAAAAAAAATTATTTATGAATAACTCAACAAAACATTGTTGTGTTGTTGTCATTGGTTTTTCTGTTACTTCAATCTGTAAATTTCTCTCTGTTCTGCCTATATACTTTAATCTATAGATCTATACATTTGTATTAGATAATTTATATAGGTCTATATATTTATATTAGATATTTATATTAGGCTTAAAACGTTTTACACATCTTTTATTATAATATTTTTACTAAACACTTAAAAAAATAAAAATAGAATTATGAATAGTAACAGAATAAATTTAATTAAAAACAATAATTGAATCATTTTTTTTCTTTTCAAAAAAGGTTTACATATCACTTCATACAATGTGATTTCAACCCTAAATTATCAATTAGATTAAAATCTGGCGGTTGTGCTGGCCAATCCTATTGTCTTATACTATTTTTTTGAAACCATCTCTTTGGAATAGAAGTTGTATAAATGGATGGTTATCTTGCTGAAATATCTAAACCAATGGCATGATATTCTTAGCGTAAGGAAGGATTATTTCTTGAAGCGTATTAGTATAAATTTCAACTGTCATAATGGCTGTTATTAGGAAAATAGGACTGTTGCCAGATGGTGAGAAACATCCCCATAATGCTTCCCCTACTATTTTTACTGATTTTTTAGAGTAATATGGGTCAAACTCTTAGTTGGCGCGGTCGCCTGCAGACTAACTGCTTACCATTTGATCCCAAAATAATAAATTTAGATTCGTCCGTCCAAAAAACTGCGCCATACTTTTTATTTCATTTATCCATGCAGAATATTTGACAAAACTTTTTTCTGGCTTTTATGTTGTTTTTTCAAAAAAGGCAACGAGCATTTGTTTTTAAAAATTACGTTCTAAATATCTTTTAAACGTTTTTTAAACGTCTTTTTAACGTTCTTTATGTAAGAATGTTTAGAAGACGTTTAAAAGACATTTAAAATATATTTAGAACGTAACTTTTAAAAACAAATGCCCGCTGGGTTCTAGGTGATCTCGAAAATAAACTTGCTTTAAATAAACGTCTTCTAATCGTACATGAGGCAAAACTTAAGCCTAAATTTTTTTAAAAAGTATTGCTGGAATTTTTTTTTTATGATGTTGCCGAGGGCTTTAGTATATCAACTGACAAATAGTTGAAAAAATGCAAGGGAGTGCTGCTACATCGACTAAGAGTTTTGGCTGGGGTTTAACCTTTATATATATATATATATATATATATATATATATATATATATATATATATATATATATATATATATATATATATATATATATATATATGTATATATATACACACTTTATTTTAAATTTTGACAAGTAGCACTGCGGTGGTTATGAATTGGCATAATAAATTATATAAACTATGAAAACCTTTGCACAATACACCATAATTTTTGAAAAAAAAAAAAAAAGTCACAATATTTTTATTTAATTTTTAGTTAAATATTTTTTTATTTTTATAATTTTAATTTGCGCAACAGTGCATTTGTGTAAGAGTGTGCATTAAGAATGATGATTAGTGTTGCACACAAAGTCCAAGTATTATTAGTCAGAGTCTGTAATATTCTGAGGATGAAATTATACTAAGAATTAAATACAACATAAAGTTTAAAGCGTGCAAACCGTTATATTTATTTCAAGTAATAATAATAACACGAGGCATGTGTGTATTATGCCGAACACGGATGTTACATCTTCCTTCTTAAACTTTTTTTTTTTTTTTTTTTTTAAAATTTAAAGATATGTATATTTATCATATAGTTAAACAAGTTCTTTATAATATACACTGTTAAATGAAGTCTCTCAAGTAGGCAGGTCTGTTTTTAGTCCTTAGAGATCTTCGCAAGTTAGGCTGCGGTTCAGTCGATAGAGTTTCAGGAATACACGTAGCTTCTATTTCGTTGTTTGCTGTTTCCTCATTTGATGTAGGAGGTGTGATAACAGCCGGTAAATCGTATGACAAATCAAGTTGTTCATGCTGATATACTAGTGGTTGCTCATTGGTTTTAATCAGATGTTTATGATTGCGTCGATATACTCTTCCGTACTTACCTACCACGTTGTATGATCTGGGTAATGTTAATTTTTCTTTAACTGTCACTTTCTTCCATTTTCCATCCTTTCTCATACGGGCAGTGTCGTTTGCTACGAGATTTGGGAGTTCTGATGCGTTTTGATCATAGTATTGTTTTTGACGATTTCTGGACTTAGTGATCTGACTATAAGCATTTACAGGAACTGCTGGTATAAGTAAGTCATGGTAGACAGGTAGGGTTGTTCGCGTTCTTCTGTTCTTGAGAAGTTGGGATGGGGAGTAGTCCATACCAGTGAGAGGCATGTTGAGGTATTCTAGAAGACCAAGCTCAGGGTTGTCACATTTTTTTAGTATTTTCTTCATAATTTTTACGCCCATTTCACTGAGACCATTTGATTGGGAATAGTTTGGACTTGATGGAGTGAAGTTAAACCCATATTCTTTTGAGAAGTTAAGGAATTCTGCACTGTTGTAGGGGTTGTTATCGGCAATGAGACTTGAAGGTATTCCGTGACGAGTAAATATGGTTTTCATAAATTTGATTACAGAAAATTCCGTTTTGTCAGGAATGACACTGTTTTCTATAAATTTAGAAAAGTAGTCTATAACAATTACATAGATTTTTCCATGCAACTCATATATGTCTGATCCTACTTTACTCCACGATAAGTCAAGAATGTAGTGTTGAATGATTTTTTCCTTTTTGTTGTTATTACGGTATTTAAGGCATTTATGGCAATAAAGTATTAGTTTATCAATGTCGCTTGTAAGTCCTGGCCAGTAAACAACGTTTCGAGCTCTAGCTTTCGTCTTTTCGGTGCCAAGGTGTGATAAGTAAAGCTGTGTTAATATAATGGGTCTCATATCAGTTGGTATGACTACTTTATTTTCTTTTAAAATTATTCCCTCTGCTATGTGTAAGTTGTTTCTGATGGTCCAATATTTCTTTTCTTTACCACAGAGCATTTGTCGGTTTCGGGGCCAACCATAAGTTATATAGTTTGCTATTTGAGAGAGTACAGGGTCAAGTTTAGTGTCGTGCTGCAATTGTTTTAGTCTATCTGTTGATATTGACAAATTTTGAACTAAAGTGTGGACCATAACGCTGCAGTCCTCATTTAGGCTATCATCCTCGTCAAAAATGTTGAGGTGAGCATGTGATAAAGAGTCTTCAATGTTTAGATCTTTTCCTGGAACATATATTTTGCTATAACTTGATATTTTTGGAGTCTTATTAGAAGTCTTTGTATGCGAGGTGGTGCTTCTGACAGCGGCTTGTGCAAGATATATTCAAGAGGTTTGTGATCACCTTCTATTGAGACCTGTCGCCCATAGGTATATTGGTTGAAACGTTCACAAGCAAAAACTATTGCTAAAAGTTCTTTCTCTATCTGGGCATATCTCTGTTCTGCTATGGTTAGACTACAAGAAGTATAGCTGATCGGGTGACCTTCTTGCATAATACAGGCTCCTAACCCATGTGAAGATGCGTCTACCTGAATTTGAACATCTTTTGATATGTCGAAAAATGAGAGTACAGGAGAAGATGAAAGAACCTGTTTAATTTTTTCCATAGCACTGGTATGTTCATGGTTCCATGACCAGTGTATGTCTTTTCTAAGCAGCTGGCAGAGGGGAGCTGTTATCTCTGACATATTTGGGATGAATTGTCGCAGGTAGTTGACCATTCCTAAGAGCCGTTGCAAATCTGCTTGACATGTAGGCAATGGGTATGCAGATATGGCTTTAGTTTTTTCAGGATCAACTCTTATGCCTTCATGGCTGATAATGTTGCCAAGATACTTGACCTCAGATACTCGAAATTATATTTTTTTAAGGTTGAATTTGATGTTTCTTTCACGAGCTTGTTGTAGAATTTGTTGGAAAATTTTATCATGCTCTGTATCTGTTTTAGCTGCAATAATCAAGTCATCGTGGATAGCCAGAACATTAGGGATATCACCGAAATTAAGTTCAATCATTTCTTGTGCAGCATCCGATGCGCATGATATGCCGAATGGCATGCGGTTGAATTTGTATCGGCCATAAGGAGTGTTAAATGTGCATAGCTCTGAGGAAGGTTCATCTAGTTTTATATGCCAATAGCAATCAGCCATGTCTATAACAGTGAAAACTTTGTTGCCGCAAAGTTTGCTAGAGATTTCTTCTGTAGATGGAGTGGCTTTGTGTTGTCTTAACAGACTTGTTTAGTTCTTTCGGATCAATGCATAGTCTTAAGGATCCATCTTTTTTCTCTACGATGACCATTGAGTATACCCAAGGTGTCGGTTTAGAAATTTTTGAGATAACTGTGGCTTTTACTAGATGATCAAGTGTGCTTTTAAGTTCAGGTAGGACAGTCATTGGTACTTTCCTTGGTGCATGAATGACTGGGATTGCATCTCTAGCAAGTGCGATATGATAGTTTCCTTTAACTAAACCAAGGCTGGTAAAAACATCACTATAATGTTTTAAGATGTTAGTTTTATCTATTTCAACATCGTTAATGTTTAGTATTTCAAGAGATTTGCAAGAACTTAGACCAAGAAGTGGTTTTATGTCAGACAGAGATACAACAAAAAAATGACACACTTGTGAAATGTTATTCTTTTTTATATTTAGGTTGCATATTCCTAGTACAGGAATATTGTTTCCACCATATGATTTTAGTTGAGTTATTTTTTTTTTGAGAGGAGGTCTTCCAGGAATAGAGTTGTAGATGTTGTATAGAATAACGTTACATTGGGCTCCAGTATCTAATTTAAATGTTATATTTTTGTTGTTGACTGTAATATTTGTTGTTAAATCGTCAGGACATTCCATTGATGCTGCAACATGATGAATATATAACTCTGCAACGTTGAGGTTGACTTCCTTTTGATCAACTTGGTCTACACGATTAGTATTAAAGCGATTAGTTTTGGATTTGCATACTTTAGCA